AAGATGCGGAAGATACAGGACCCCAATGGAAGTCGGCCCAATGTAGGTACCGCCAAAAAGAAGATCTCAGGGACTTTTTCGAAATCAAGGGAAAAGCCAAGGCACCGGGAACGGCACCGTTCGTTGTCACTCGTCGCCCGTCCCTCGGCCACTTCAGATGGCCGTCTGCTCCCTGTAAAAAAACGTAGAAACTTACGTACTGGTATCCGAGTCGAGGCAGGCGGAAGGGTCCACGTTGTGTGTGTGGGAGGTACCTTTTCCAGTGGTTTGATCAGCATCATGGCGTTCCCCATTACCTCTTTGACATATGGATCAGATGGGGAGCACAGCTTGATTCACAATACACGTCCTCGAGTAATGGAAGAAGGGGTTGCGGCGTTCTTTGTGATACCTACCTCGGCTTCCGTCAGCGAGATGCAAGAACCAGTACGCACGCAGTCCTCTGGTTCAAGTCTGGGTACAGGTACTTTACCTTCGGTTACTTGCCTTACTTTGCTTCTGCTATAAATTACCTCCTTGATTTGTTCCATGTTCCAAGTCTCTCTCTCTTTCTCACGGGCAAAGCACATTACTAGTACCATAGTATTCGATGGCCTCCGCTGCTCGTGTCTCTTCAAATCTGCTCATAAACTGACGGGGCCCCACTGCGTGGCCTAAAGACCCGATGGCCTTCCCTGTCGCTTCGGGCTTGTCGCCGGTCACCGTGATTGGTAAACATTCAACCATCGCTTATCGTGGGTGGGAAACGCGCCCCAAGGCCCCAAACAGCGGGACTGAAAACATGCTCGGGAAGACTCCCGTCTGGTGGGGACCGTCAGACACCTGGAAATGCTGGAATTCGCGGCCAAAAATGCCGTCTAAGTCGCTTTTCTACTCACTTTCGTGTCCATTGTCGGACGAAAAGATCCGGACCCTTCGCTTGGCTGGCCTTCTTGATCTTCTGACTGGATAAAACATGCAGTCTGGTGGAGCCATGTCTCCCCTGCCGAGCGGAGTCTCCAGATAAAGCTTGGCCGTTCTCTCCACAAGCACGCGCAGTGTTACGTCTTGGCAGGCTTGGCTTCATCTGCTTCCGGCAACCGAGTCGCTTGGCAACTGCGGGGCAGGCAGCCAGGCACACCGGCCGGCAAACACTCTGTTTCAATTTAGCAGATCCCGTGAGTACGTGCAGTTCGCGCTACTGCTTCCTGGTCCCATGCTCCATCAGACGCCGCAAACCCGCGACTTTAACGCGTCCACCAGGGCATCGACGAGTGTGCCACTTCATTTCCAGCTACTTCTGTCGACGACGCAACGGACTCGCGAACCTCGCACGGAAGGACGTCCATTCAATAGGCGAGACGCGCCGCATAAACGCCCTCACAGTGGCTCATTCTAGACCTAATCCTTAAGAGGTTGCCCATCATGTCCAAGATCGAGAAAATGTCCATCTTGGGCGTGCGCTCCTTTGGGCCACGCCACCCAGAAGCCATCGCCTTCAACACTCCGCTAACCCTTATCGTCGGATACAATGGCTCGGGCAAGACCACCATCATCGAATGTCTCAAGTACGCTACCACTGGCGAGCTTCCGCCCAACAGCAAGGGCGGTGCCTTCATTCACGACCCTAACGTGAGTGCCACTGCTGAGTATCCGTAATTCTGGGACAACTTCGGCTAAGATATTCCCTTGCGCAGCTCGTCGGCGAGAAAGATGTCCAGGCGCAGATCAAGCTTTCCTTCCGCTCCACTGTTGGTGAATCCTTCGTCGTAACCCGAAACGTGCAGCTAGTCGTCAAGAAGGCCACAAGAACCCAGAAGACCCTCGAAGGAAGTCTCCTACTGCGATCCAATGGTGATCGTCAATTAATATCTACCAGGGTGATGGAACTCGACAAGCTGGTTCCCGAAAAGCTGGGTGTCTCACCAGCCGTTCTAGACGCGGTTATCTTTTGCCATCAGGATGAGTCCCTCTGGCCCATGAGCGCGCCGGCTGACCTGAAAAAGAAATTTGACGAGATCTTTGAGGCCCAAAAGTACGCCAAAGTCATCGAGAACCTTAAGCTCCTTAAGAAAAAGAAGGGCGAAGAGCTTCGAATCCTCAAGGTACAAGAAGCCCAAGACAAAGAAAACAAGGAGAGGGCAGACAGGGTCGACAGGGAGCTCAGTAAGCTCACTCGCGAGATCCAAGAGGCTCGTGACAAGTGCAACGAGCTGCTGGATCAAATCGAGCACGAGGATGTTCGCATCAAGCAAAAATGGGAGCAGGCCAACAGTTTCCTCAGGATCGTCAACGAGCTGCAGACCAAGCAGGAGAAGCTCGAGTACAAGAAGGACGCCATCGCAGAGTTGCGGGAACGTATCGAGGAGAGTACAGGGTCTGACGAATATCTTCGAGACGCTCTCAACCAGTACGAACAGACTGTTGAGCGGATGAACACCGACCGAGATCAAAAGGTGGCCCAATTTGGGACCCTGCAGACCGAGCTCAAGACCGCCCGAGTTAAGCATACTGCCAAGGCTGAGGAGCAGGGAAAGCATCAATCCGACAAGGACAAATATGACCGCCAACTCGTTTCGCAACGTCAGATGATCCAAGAAGCTGCCGAAAAGCACGAGATCCGCGGCTACGACGGTGACTTGGATGACCAAGAGATCAATGCATTCTACGAACGCATCCAGAAAATGCTCCAAGACACGAAACGGAATCTGGAACGTCTTCAACGCGACAACGCTGCCGAGCTAGATGCAAAATCCGCCGTTATCACGGAACTGGAGAGCCGGAAGGCGTCTCGCATTCGAGATCGGAAAACATCATCCCAGCGGGTCGCGACACTTCAAAGAGACATTACTAAACTCCAAGGGGATCTGAACAATCTCGACGTTGACGAAGGCGCGGAGGCAGTACTACGGACCGAGATGAAGGGATTGGAGTCCAGAATCAAGCAAGCCAAGGCTGACAACAAAGTGGCCGAACTCGACTCACAGATCAAGGAGCTAAACAACGAGGTCTTGACTCTAGAAGCCCAAGGTGCCAAGCTGAGCCGCGAACTAGTCGAATGTACCAATTTAGCAGCAGAACGTGCACAGCTTGAACTTCGCAAGAACCAGCTCAAGGAACGGAAGGGGGAACTGGACATTCTGAAGAGCACGTTCAATCAGCAGTTGACAGAAGTTATCGGCAAAGACTGGATATCAGAAACCATCGAGACAGACTTTCAGAAAGCGCTCCGACGGCTGAGTGACCGACTCTCTGAGCTCAGAAAGACAAAGGATTCAACGCAGCAAGAACTGAAGCAGGTTGAGTTTAAGCTCACTACTGCTCGTGAGAAGCAGACTAAGTCCGTGAAGGAAAGGGACAGCTGCAAGAAAGACGTATACGGGGCTGTGGAGAAAGCGGCAACTAAAGAAATGCTGGCAAGGGGGGTGTCGGTGGACGATTACGCGGAGACAGTTGCGGAGATCGAGAAAGAGTTAAAAATCATCGACACGGATATGGAACTGGATGAGTATTTGACGGAGTACTTCACGAGTGCGAAGGAAGCAGCAGAGGAAAAGAAGACGTGCTACCTTTGCGACCAATCTTTGGCCAACGAAAAAGTCATGCAAAAACTGATGAAAAAGATCAGAAAAAAGCTCGATGATAAACACAAAGACGAGCAGCTCAAAGAGCAAGCCATGTTTAGACGTCTTCTTGGGACGCTGAGAAGTGTGCGGACGAAGTACGAGACTTATGGACGGCTGTGTAAGGAGCTGCCGGGTTTAGTCGAGGAGATCAATACCCTCACGTCTGAGAAAGAAAGACTGGTTCGACAGCTCGAGGACCAGGATGGCACTTTCAAAGCTGCCGAAGAGAAGCGGAATGCGGCGGATGGGCTAAGCAAGAGCGTACTGAAGATTGCACAGGCTGTCAAAGACATTGCGGATTTTGAGAGACAGGTCGAGAGATCCCAGCAAAACTCGAGCATCCAAGTGCGAAGCGCTGACGAGATCAACGATGACCAAACAGCCTGTGCAGAGCAGTTGAGAATTACCCAGGCAAAGCTGACCAAGTTAACCGCCGAACGCCAACGGTTGAAGGATCAGGCGGCTCAGCTCGAGGTTGAGAAACTGGAATTGAAGCACAAGATTACTGAGGTTGTCCAGCAACTAGAGCACAAGAAGCGACTCCAGGACACGATTAAGAATCACAAGGAAGAGCAGAATGAGCTTCGGAAGAACATGCAAGACATCGACAAAGAGGTCGAGAGTATTGACCCAGAAATTGCCAGCGCCAGGGCAGCCCTTGAGGAATCTCGAAAGCAGGGCCGAGCCAGAGAGCAGCGAATCGCAGAGGAACGCGACGGTATCGCCACCACGGTGAGCGAGCTCAAGATGATCAACCGCGAAATCCAGGATTATCTCGACCGAGGCGGCCCTGCCAACCTGGCCTCTAACCAGCGTGCCATCGCTAGCCTGGAGAACACCATCGCCACTCTTGAAAGAGACATGAAAGAGCTCACCACCCAAATCCACAAGCTAAACAAGGAAATCGACAACAGCGACGCCAAACGGCGCAACATCGCCGACAACCTCACCTACCGCAAGAATCTGCGCGAGCGCGACGCTCTCGAGGAGGAGATCGAAGAGCTCGTGTCCCGCAACGCACAAGAGGACTATGACCGTCTCGTCAAGGAAGCGCACTATCTCGAATCGAGGCGCGGCAAGCTCAACGCCGACCGCGATCGTCTGATGGGTTCCATGTCGACCAAAGACGAGCAGTTCGCGCGACTCAACGACGAATACGAGATCGAGCTGAAAGGCGCGCGCGCCCGGTTCAAGGAGAGCCACATCAAAGTCGAAACCACCAAGGCCGCCATCGAGGACCTCGCGCGCGGAATGGTGGCGCTCGACCAGGCCATCATGCAATACCACTCGCTGAAGATGGAGGAGATCAACCGCACCATCGGTGAGCTGTGGCAGAGCACGTACCAGGGCACCGACATCGACACGATCCAGATCCGGTCCGACATGGACTCGTCGGCGTCGGGCGGCGCGAGCGGCAACACGCGCCGCATCTACAACTACCGCGTGTCCATGATCAAGGGCGACACGGAGATGGACATGCGGGGGCGCTGCTCGGCCGGCCAAAAGGTTCTGGCGTGCATCATTATTCGTCTTGCGCTGGCCGAATCGTTTGGCCTCAACTGCGGCCTCATCGCGCTCGACGAGCCGACGACGAACCTCGACAGCGACAACATCCGCTCTCTCGCCGAGAGTCTGCATGCCATTATCAAGGCGAGAAAGAGCCAGAATAATCTGCAGCTGGTGGTGATCACGCACGACGAGGAGTTTTTGAAGCATATGCAGTGTAGCGAGTTCTGTGATGACTTTTTCAGGGTCAAGAGGGATGAGAATCAGAACAGTGTCATTTCGAGGGAGAATATTACGAGGATTTCGGAGTAAGAAGGGAGAGGTTAGGGGAATGTGTGTGTGGACCGAGATTTACTAGGCCGATGTTACTTTAGGGCCTATTGTAGGATGTACAATTGGGCGAAGGTAGAATGTGAATCGGGAGCCTGGTAAACTGATGCCTTTCTTGGACTGCTTGTTTATGGCCATGGGTTCCAATGTTCTGTTTTGTTTCACAACTAGTTTGGCCGACTTCCTTTGATCAGCACATGAACCTATCTATGATCAGCATGATTTTACGTACTGGCCACAGATGGGCGGCTCAAAGGATGTTTCATCGCAAGCAGGGTAAACCTTTTGACGATCAGATGAATGGCGTATTGTAGTGTATCATGTTCTGTAGTCCGTAACATATCTTGAAAACCACCATACCGCTGATACAGGGTGTAGCTAAGCTAAACTATAAAACCATCAATCCAAGTAGACAGACATGTCGCTTGTTTCGTTCATCCAAACAACCTCTTCCCTTCCTGTTGTCCTGATAACACATTTGACTCCTCTTCATTATCTCTTATCTTTACGACTTCCAAACAGATACGTCCCTCTATTGGCTGGATCCAACATAGTCAACGTTCTCTCATACTAGGAAGAAGAAGTCTTTGGTTGATCTTCTTCTCCTTCTCTGGCTCCAGCTTCTGGTTTCTGATTTGATGACTCTCCTCCTTCCTTTGGCTTATCCTCTTCTACTGCCGCCACCGAGGAGCCGGGAGCTGGTCGGTCCACTAACACCATGTCCTCATCCTCATTCGCATCCTTCTGCTGCACCGGCGGCGCCTCCTCCTCTTTTGCTACTTCCGAACTCTCCTCAGGTTTCGTGACTTCTGTCGTCGAGCTGCTAGCCTCCTCCATCGTGTTGGTGTCGTCGGCCTTATCCTCCATTCGCTGTCTCTTCTGCGTACTGCCGAGCTCCGATTCGTCGTCCCCTGCCTCCCGCTTAGGGCTTGGGGGGACTAAGTTCTCCGCATCACCGCTGCCGCTCTTGGAGTGGGGTGTCGTTGCCTCTTCTGCTGGCGTAATGTTGCTCGCTGCTGGTGGTGATTGTAGCCTCCTACCCACCGCGGCCTCAACATCAAGCGCACTCATATCCACCTCGCCCGTGGATGACATGGCAATGCTGGTCCTCGCGTTCTGGGGGCCGGTATCCTCCGGCCCGATCTCCTGCGGACCGCGAGCGTGGGGGACCTCTTCCTCGTCCTGCTGCTCCTCGGGGTCTGAGTTCTCGCCCATCACAATATCCTCGTCCGCTGGTGGAGCTGCAGTTGTAGTGGCAGCAGCAGTAGTAGTAGTAGTAGTAGTAGTAGTAGTAGTAGTAGTAGTAGTAGTAGTAGTAGCTGAAGAACCTTCGCCATGAGCGGCAGCACTGAGAGGTGTAGTCTGCGCAGCCGTGTAACCCTGGGCAGTATTATTGTTGTTCCCGGCAACCTGGTTAACAGGGACAACGCCCGCGCGCTGTTCCTGCCTGAGCAGTTCCCCCTGCGTGACGCCTCGCTGCTGTTGTTGCTGCGAGAGACCCAGTAGGCCACCGCCCATTCCGGTAGAAGGGATCCCGTTGACCGAGATGGATACCGTCTCTATGCTTCCCATGCCGTTGGGGCCCTCAATCATCTCGGTGCTCTCCTTACGAACCTGCGGACTGACGGAGCTCTGGGCGAAGGTAATGTGGCTGTGCTGCTGCGCGAGAGCTCGCTGCTGTTGTTCGTGCTGGGTGTTGGGGTCGGACGCCCCGCTGGCTGATAACGGTGATGAGCTGCCTGCGTCACTAATGCTGCCGTCGTCGTCACCGCCGTCGCCATTTGCCCTTCGCGTCAACCATGGAATGGGGGTAAGTAAGGCGCCGCCGAGAGCCTCGTCGGATCCGATGTTGTTCGCTGCCGAAAGGCTGGTAGTACTGCCGCTATCAGAGCCTGGGCCACCTCCGTTAGACATGCCGCCCATGCCGCTCAGGTCGGGGATCGCTGGCGGTAATGGGTATAGGTTTGCTCCGCTAGTGACGTGGACAACGCGGTCGAGCGCATTCAGGTAGCCTACCACACTCCTGTACTGAGGGCGCGGCTTGAGGACCAGCTCAGCGAGGCGCTGGATGGTATGGGGCGGGTAATCGGGGAAGTTGGCCGTCAGGTGAGATGTGACTCCGTTCAGCATTTCGGCTACGGGGACGGGAAGAACTGGCTGTTGTGCCTGAGTCGCATTGGGGTCTGGCGCGGGCGCTTTGGGCGGCGAGGAAGCAACGTTATCGCCGGCGGCAGCTGGACGTGGCGCTAATGTCAGGGCATCGTTCTCCTTGTTGTTGGTCTCCTGGGAACTGAGCGGCGTATCGATCGGGTCGGACGAAGAGGGAAGCGGGGCGAGGAAGCGCGGGGACGAAGGTCTGGCGGGCGGTTGCGGCGAAGAAATGTCGGGGATCGGGAATTCGGTATGGGCAATCTAGAAGATCAGCTTGTTGGCGTCGACGAGAGGGGGACAATGAAATTTGTGGCTTTTCACTTACCTTCTCAATGCGCGAGACTACGATGGGCAACAACTTGGGCCAGCATGAACTGAGATGGGAATAAAGCCGTCAGTACGAGCATGAAGGTATCTGAGCTTTTGTCAGGATAAACATACTAATCCATGGACCCATCCTGGGCGACGCTGGCCAGGATGTCGTCGGCGACTTCAGCATCCATTTCGGCCATGATGTCGTTCTTTCGAAGGCGTGTTTTTGTCTGTCCCCGTGGAAGAAGTGTCTAAGGTGACAACAGAATTGCGGTTGCCAGGCGACGCGAACTGGAGCTGGCTTGGCCGCACCCGACCGTGTAAGTAGAGCTCTATAGGTGGATACTGCAGGTAGTACCGGGCTCTACCAATGCAGCGGTTACCAATCGTTACTAGGTGGTCGGGCTACAGCCATTGTAGGATGGAGGACAAACAACTATATCGACGGCCGACTTATACCAGACGCAAACGCAATTATGCTCAAATCCCATGGGGCTTGCTGGTCCTAGTTTTGCCCTACCTAGTTACACAGCCTCGCGGAGATAGCTACCTAAGGTAAACTTTAAATCACCTTGACGGCATGGCTGCTACGCCTCCGAGGCTCACCGTGTCAAGTGGAAGCTCCGCTGTAGACAGCATAGTCCCTAGGTAGGTCGGGTATAGTAAACGGGATCATATACAGGGTCTGGTCTACCTAGAGGTACCTGAATGGAAATCAGTCCTGTGGGTGGACACTCATGGGGTGATGGAAGCTGGGGCTAGAGTTCGATCGATACGGTAAAAATGGCATTTTTTCCATACCTGACCGTTTACGAGTCTTACTGAACTTTCGGGGCCCGTGCTTCAGTTCGTGCACCAGCCACTGAGCTACCTCCGTCTGCCCTCAGTTGGCGGGTGTATGGAGGGTAGGTACGTACCTATGAGACCAATGGATATGCCAAGCCCTTGAATAAATGGAAAGTGAACTCCTTTTTTCCAAACCGTTACGGTAATTACTGTTACTGACCACCAACGAGTCTGACAAGATCGAAGCCTACTCGGGGCAGTTCGGACATTTGCAGGAGTCGGGAAATTTGCAGTGGGGGATGGGTTGAGGTTTGGCTGATGCCCCGCATTGTGGACCGTGCGGTGGATAAGGGCAAACCATCACTCCATCATCAGTGAAATTGATTGGATTTTAGTCTCCCCATCCGTTCAACTTTTATTCCCCATTCTGGGACGGGAGCTTCCAGCGAGACGACGCCGCCCAGACTGGCACGCCATCCCCAATCTCATCAATTACCTTACACTCCTCAGCTGAGCGTCCACTGGCTACCTAAGTATATAACTTCCGTTGGTATCGAGACCAGGACCGGATCTGGGAACAGCCCGCATCGCCAAATCGCGAGATCAGCTGGTATTCCAGGCTCGGCCAATTCCACTACCTCTACATGGCATTGCCATTGCCGTTCCGTGATTCGCGGTAGAAAAAGGTATGGAGAAGTTAGCTCGTCAGTTTCGTCACTACCACAAGGAACCGTTCTTTCCTGTGATCCCAAGCTCGAGATACCGCTACTCTTCTCATATTATTTTTCCAGTGCAACATACATCTGAGCGCGTCCTCATCCCTTTCTCACCGACTCCCCTCGGGCTCTTGAGAGCTCTCACCTTAAGGTATCCAACACGACGGAGCTCTCCCTCTTTTCCTCTCCATGCCCACTAGCTCGTCCAATTCCTCGATCGCCGATGCCTACAGATTCCCGTCTCTAGTCCCCACCCATCGAAAGGCATGGAGCTGCCTCGACGAGCACCTCTGCAACCTGCGTTGCCATGACGTTAACTCATCAACGTTAAATCATCACCATCCCTGTCGCAAGCCAGGCCTTCTGGACTTCTACGTCCCTGGTCCTTTTTACACACAACATTGGTAGCTCTGGATATTCACTCACATCTCAGCTTCACTTCCTTCTACCGTTCCCTTGGGAAAACGTACCTACCTACTGTTCGAACGAAAGCCCCTCGTTGCGCCGCCCTCCGTCTCCCTCGCCCGACCGTCGTCCTTGGTCCCCAGCACAGCATGTTAGTGCGCGTTGACCGGATCGTTTCCAGAGTATACCGTACGGTGCGCGGTGTTTGAGAAAAGGACGGCCGCCTCGAGATAGTATGAATCCGATGGAAGCAGGAGGAGGCACTCCAAGCGCAACTGGAAGCCGTCCCGTCCTCCCTGCGATATCGCCCGCTCCGTCCGCGACGACCGGAGGAAACCGTCCTACCTCCGCTTCCGCCTCTCAGCCCACGCCCTCTACCTCTTCCTCTGCCCCGCCCCCCGGTCCGCCCTCGGGCCCGCCTACAAGCCAAGTCGTCTCGAAACGCAAGAGAGGCCTGGGACTGGTCACTCCGACTGCTTGCACCGAATGTCGCAAGAAGCGCGCAAAGGTGTGTGTGTTATGCTGGGAAGACTCCGAACTTCTGATTCTTCGTCTCCCTGTCCCATCCGTTAACCGTGAAGCCATCGAATGGCCATTGGCTAACCACCTCCCCGTTTCTTTTACAGTGCGACGGCGACAAGCCTTGTTGTGGCCGATGTAAAAACCAAAACACTCCATGTGTTTACGAACAACCCGTTCGTCAGTCAAAGGACACACTCAGAAACGAGATCGATCAGCTGAAACGCGAGCAACGGAATAACGAGCATGTGATCAACGCCCTAAGACGGACGGACAAATGGGACGAGATCTTACAGCGTTTGCGCAATGGCCAGAGCATTGATATGATCTCCTCCTGGCTAGATGGCACGCTTCCCTCGGGCGGCGGTACACTTCCCTCCATCGATCGACTAGTCGGGTCAGCCCCCGGTACCTTCACTTTCTCAGGCGACCCAGCTGGGACTTATGGCGGCGCCGTTCCAGGTCTGGCTCCCATCGGCCGATACCCAGGTCAACCGCTGCCAGGCCCTAACCCTACGAGTCCGCCTCAGTTGAGTCAGTATCACCCGAGCCAGTACCAACTGACGCAAGGTCATCCAGGTCGTCTGCAGCGGGCTGTCAGACATGAGGCCGAGCCTCATAGTCCTTGGAGCGGCCAGTTCTCCTCTCATTCTCAGACGGCACGTAGCAACTCGCTATCAGAGGCCATGAGCTGGGCTTCGGAAAGTGGCCAGCAATCGCAGTCAAGGGCAGAGGCATGGGCGGACGCTCAAGCTGGTGTCAACTCTGAAAATCAGAAATTTCGCGGTCTTGACCAGGTGCTTGCTACCGAGATACCGCATTCGCGGTCACCACATGTTGCATGGACGACCATTACTTCGGATAACAGTCTCGTACAACATCTGCTGGCGCTGTACTTTTGTTGGGAGTACCCCACGTTTGCGTCCCTCAGCAAAGAACACTTTCTCAAGGACTTTATGGACGGGCGACCTCGCTTTTGCTCCTCCCTTTTGGTGAATGCGCTCTTGGCGTTGGGCTGTCGGTTCTCCAGCCAGCCCAGTACTCGCGCGAACCCGAACGACCCGTACTCATCGGGCGATCACTTCTTCAAGGAATGCCAGCGACTATTCGACCAGGAAGAAAACCATCACACGCTAACTACAATTCAAGCCTTGGGTATAATGTCCATCCGAGAGGCAAGCTGTGGTCGGGACTCCGAAAGTTGGTATTATGCCGGACAAAGCATCCGACTGGCAATAGAGATGGGGCTGCATCGGGTCCAAGATGACGGCAAGGATTGCGACGAAAGTGCGGTTCAAGCAGCCACGTTTTGGGGTGCCTTTGCGCTCGACCAGTAAGTCCAGTAAATCCGTTGAATAGCCACGCGACCTTGATCTAATGGCGAAAATGTGACAGCGCGTGGTCGTTGGCCACCGGTTCGCTCCCCCAGTGCTCATGCTTTCCACAGCTGCCTCCGAAGCCCGCTATCATCGATGACATCGAGGCGTCGCTCTGGATTCCTTATACAGACGATGGTAAGACCCCGTCGTTTTTTGATGTTGTGCTTGGAGGTAGGCTGATGATAAGTACAGGCGCGCCTCTGCACCAGTCGTGCGAACAACCGTCCAATGTTCGGTCGGTGTACAAATGCTTCTGTGAACTAAGCGAGCTTGTTCACCAGTCGCTGTACATTCTCCATTCACCCGGACGCCCACTGACTAGCAGAGATCTGCTCAAAAAATACACGCAGTATTTGAACTGGTATGATAGGATACCAGAGGTGTTGCGGCTTGGACATAACTTCACTCCCGCTGTGTTGTTCGCGCAGTGAGTCTCTCGATCCCTGGGCTGTTGCGGAGTCTGTGACACGTCTCTAACCTAACGCTGAGCGCAGCATGTATTATCATTTTGCCATTCTTCTCCTGTTTCGGCCGCTGATCAAACTCCGTATTGTTGGATCGAGCATCTCTCCGCGCGATGTGTGTATACAGGCTGCCGACGCCATATCAGGGCTTCTGCGCTCGTACTCGCAACTCTATACGTTGAGACGGACCCCATCGTTTGTCCCCTATTTTGTGCTAACCTCCTCCATCATGCACCTGGCCATTGGGGCCACGGCCTCGGATCAGTCTGACCCAGGTGGGGGTTCAGGTCAAGCGGGACCGAGTAAACATCCCAACATAGGCTCGATCCTCGGGTTGCTGAAGCCATAAGTCGAGGAATCGCCGACCTTACGGAGATGGCACCATGTCACCACTTTGCCGAACAGGCGCTCAACATACTGAGGTATCTGGCGAAGAAGTGGAACATTGACGTAGAGATACAGACAACGGGGGAAGAGGAAGGGACGCAAAAAGTCAAGATCGACCGCTACCAGACCACTCGACCGGTTACGAGCAGTCTCAACTTCTTTGCGCCTAACGTCACCGAGGGAGACTTCAACTGCAAATGGGGAGAGGGAATAGAATCAGGACGCGGCGCAGCTACGCGGGTGGAAGTCCAGCCTGGAAATATCAGGCATTTGGCCAACGCTACGGACAATCCCCTGTTTTGGCCGTTTCCGATGCAAGGCCGGCCGATATTGGGAACGGGATCCGAGCTGTTGGAAGCGGGTTTTGAGCTTATCTAAGGTGATATAGATCATTTCCTGGCCTTGAATGAGCCTCCGGAGGAAATCGATCTGTTGGCCGATTTGATCGCCGGCAGTTCTGTGGGAGTTGCTGCCTAAATGTCATCATCGGCAAACATGTTACAAAGTTCACCGCTGAAGAGAGCATTGCGGCCAACCATCTGGACCGCACATATAAAGTGTTTCGAGGAAATGTTTCGTCCGTCCCGCAGACTGTCCCGGATCGTTCACAAGCCACATGTTTGGAGGCACCGAGGGGCTTCGCAGGGAGGGGGCAAGGACGAGAAAAAGCGAGGCTCGGCACTTTTGCGGCAAAATCGGAGAGATATGATGCACCACGACTGCCAAGGGAGCAGCAATAACCCAGGGGTTTGAGAGTACCAGAAATTGCATTGGGAGGTGGAACATACCGACGAGTGGGAATTGTGCTGCGGACAGGGGTGTCAGAAAAGCGACAAACGCGTGTTGGAATTCACAAAGCGTAGAAACTTGCGTCATGTAAAGAGACGGGAGTTTGAGGTCAAGGAACGACGGGACGGCTCTTGTGGCCCGGGCTATAGAGTTTGGGAGTGTGTGTGTGTGTGTGTGTG